AGAGCGCTAACATTTAAACTGCACATCACAAACACATATAGAAGAGCAGGGAATGAATGAAAACAGTACAATAAAGCTTGTGTTTTTTTACAACAACTTTGTCACAATCTTCTGTTGTGTGATCTCAGTGATGATATCCCCAATGTGTTTTACTTGTTCAACTAGGCAAGCCAGTACAAGAGTTACTATGACTCTAAATCACTTTAAGTCTTTATATGAGATTTTTCACACTTAAATATAATATAAATCAAGTATATCCTCTGAAAATAACTCTGTGAGTCATGACTGTCTACAATGGGTGTAACACCCGAGTCCCACTGTCTGTGATGCTTTCAGAGTTTTCAGAGTCCTATCTTCAGTTTGTTTACATCGCCCAGACGGCCGGCTGACTCCTCCCCTCGTATATAAAAGTTGTTTAATTGTGGGACTAGAGAAAAGAAGAATAACATACTGTACTCACTGCTTAACTGTGTTTCTAGATCACGCTCATTTCAGGTAAATTTACATGCAGTGTGAAGATACCAGCATAATAAAGATGGCTAGCATTAGCATGCTAACACAACAATGCAGCGCCAGTTGTTTTGGTTTCATGCTGGTGCTCAAGGGCGACATCTGCTGGAATTGTTTGTGTAATTTGTGTAATTTGTTTCTTTTGTGCTGCTCAGGTCTGGCTGGCTCCTGCCTCCCTCGCTTCAACACCATGCCCTTCCTCTACTGCAACCCCGGAGACGTTTGTTACTACGCCAGCAGGAACGATAAGTCCTACTGGCTGTCGACGACGGCTCCTCTTCCCATGATGCCGGTGGAAGAGGCAGAGATCAAACCGTACATCAGCCGCTGCTCAGTGTGTGAAGCTCCATCGGTCGCCATCGCCGTCCACAGCCAGGACATCACCATCCCACAGTGTCCTGCAGGCTGGCGCAGCCTGTGGATTGGCTACTCCTTCCTCATGGTGAGTTCAGGGCTTCACTCCTGTAAAAAACAAAATTATCAAACTGATATGGTTTCAGAAATGATTTCAGTGATCATTTGTTGTACCCCTGAGCTTGTGTTAACAGTTGTTATAAATCATAAAAAACAGAGGAGGTTTGGGACATTTGAAAAAAAAAAAAATTATTGGAGGCTCCAGATCTACAAAACAATTCCTGTTTTGCAAACTGGGATTTGTGGGACGGGGGGTCTTCATGAAAAGGTGCGCATGCTGCAGCATGGGGAGAGTTTCAGTAGCTTGACCCAACACTGGTGACGGAAAGTAATCTCCTTATTGCTATTTTTATTACTGCTTTTTATTCTAGTATTTTAAATTAGGTATTTATTTATCTTTTTAAATGGAGCTTCCCAGTAATAAAAAATATAAAATAATTTTAGCTCTTGTGATTTTGAAGATTTGTTGTGTTTATTGCCACTCCAGTTGTACAAGCACAATCGAGTACATTCTTTTAAGATTTATTTTTGGGCATTTTGTGCCTTTTATTTTAGAGATAGGACAGTGGATAGAGTCAGAAATCACTGGTCTAGAGTATTAGCATCAAATATGTTTGCATAATACTTAAAGAAAGGATTCCAAGTTTTTGGAAATCTCTTCGATGAACCCTGAACCGTGCATCTAATTTTTTCCAGTTTAAGAACTGACATAACCTCGCGAATCCAACGTGAGTGGGATGGAGGGGTTGGAGATTTCTAATTGAGGAGGAGATTATTTCTTAAAAACAGTCTGTTCCTATGTTTACTTTGTGACACGGGACTAAATTAATTATTTGCTGTGCTTAAGCTACAGAAACTTAAATACTGTGAGGTCACTGTAGTCAGTTCATTGTTGAACCAAACATCAAATTGTGCATTTGACTTCTCACCTGCCTCGCTTCTCCCCCCCCCCCCTCACCTTTGTCTACACAGCACACAGCAGCAGGAAATGAAGGCGGAGGTCAGTCTTTGTCGTCGCCGGGCTCCTGCCTGGAGGATTTCCGCACGACACCGTTCCTGGAGTGCAACGGGGCCAAAGGAACATGCCACTACTTCGCTAACAAACACAGCTTCTGGCTCAGCTCCGTCGATCAGTCGTTCCACACTGAGCCGGCATCAGAGACACTCAAGGCGGGCCAGCTCCTGTCACGCATCAGCCGCTGTCAGGTGTGCATGAAGAACCTTTGAGAAAACTCTCAATTCATGTGGAAAAGAAGAAAAAAAAACCTCCCAACGGTGTGATGTCATCTCTCTATCCACATATTAACAATCATGTAAATGAGAAACTGTCTTCACAAGCCACAGAGCTCAGAAAACAAAAAGACTGTCTGATGCCTCACAGAATAGAAGACCCAACAGCATTATGGGAAATTGAGTATTTTGTAATAAATGTGGATTGGTGCTTACTGTTTAACTTATTACCTCAGCTACTATGAGATATTATCAACAATAAGATACAGAATACAGCTGAACCAAAGACGCTTTATGTACGCACTGCTTCAGTTTATCTATTATACGTTTTGATTGTTTAGGGTCTCCTGCCCACCATACAGCCACTAACACTGCTCCATTAGAGGTTTCAATAATGTTTGGTTGATTACTATCCACCGTATTATCTTGCTTTAAAAACCTATTTTTATAACATGACAGTCTTTTCAGTGTTTCATGTAATTAAGAGCTTTTCAGAAGTTGTCTATAACTCTCTTATTTTCCATACAAACGTTCACACAATGCACTGAATCTCTTTGTATTTATATCAGCTGAATAAACTTGACCCCCTCCTGAAAAGTTGTAATGTACAGTCACATCTTAAACCACTCATGATGCATTCATGTGCCTTTACAAATGTACTGAATGTAGTATTGAACCGCCCACAGGACAGTATGTAAACAGTTTGGATCAAAAGTCTCACTGTATCAAAATCCTCCTGCGTCAATATGAGAACACAATTTAGAAAGTAGGTCAAATGTTTTCTGCTTCACCTAGATTCACTTGTTTGGGGGGACAAATAAATCCACTGAAAACATTTGTTTAGCTTGTAATTTAATTACAGTAAGTTGTCATAACATGCTCATTTCATGTGATTAGATTAAATGTTGTTTACTTCAGAGTCTGTTTACTTCATTTCAGCCTCACCAGCTCATTAAAGGCTTTATATGCCATTTTTTGATCCAGCAGATGTCGCCCTTGAGCACCAGGATGAAACCAAAACTATGGGATTAATATACTATCTTTATTCAAGAGCATGTTATTTTTCTTAAGAACGGGTTTTTAAGTTTTGAGAGCAATACTTATTGATTTTACATTCAGATGTTTTCATTCTTTCTCTCAAAAACCTCTTTGTACTCAAATAGTTGCTGCTTGTGTTTAGGGTTAGGGTTTAATGTTTGCTTGCTCTCAGATATTCTCGCGCTCGCAGCTCAAACTTCTGCTCTCGGATTTTATGACGAATCAACCAATAGAAAACGGGTACAGGATCGGCCAATCACGTCCACGCCGCGCTATTGCTGGGGAGTTCGCTGTACTGATTAGAGCGTCCCGTATGGGCGGTTACTCTTTAACCGCAAATACTCCGGAGCTCCCGCGGCTTTTGACGTAGCCTATCTATGGAATAATTATGGACCACCAACTTCAAAGACGTGAAGTCAGTTTTTATTTGAATGATAATGGTGCTAATTGTTTCTAAAGAATCGAATTGATAAAGTAACATTTGAAAGAAGAACACTGAACACTGTGGCAGCTTGTGGAAACGGACTTCACCGTGTTTCTTAGGCTGCTTTAGTTTTAATGAATGGGAAAATTAGGCTAGAGCTCTTATAGGCTATTACGACAGTAGAAAACAAAATGAACGACACAATTTGAATTTTAGTACACTGTCCTCTTTTCAGTTGCGCCAACAGGGTTTAGGATCCGCCTGTAAGCTTCAACGGCTCTTAAACCGACTTCGCAGCTGTCTGCGTAGCCTAATGTCAGACAGCAAACTGTGAGCACATTTAGAATGTTTTAAAAGGCAATAACGTAAATTTCGTTAGAAAAAAACTGTGTTGTTAATTTAGCAAATGAAAAAATCAATCTTGTTTCAATGCATTTCGACTTTCGGACTTTTCAATGAAGTTCATTAGAATATTTCTCAGCAGCTGTAAAGGAGCAGAGAGGACACTCAGTGTTGTCAGCTTAAAGTCACTCTTGTGGAAGTAGAACTTAAACTAATTTTTAGACTAAATTTTTAGACACCTTAGTGTCTAACATTAAAGCTGAAATGCCAAATATTGGCTACAGATTGGTAATGGGAAGACTGAGCTCCTTAGGCCACAGGGTACAGTGGAACAGAATGAAAGCAGCTATATGCATAGAGTAGATGCAGCTGGGATTCTTGCTCGCTTGACACAGTTAGGCTGTGTTGTGAGAAGAAGCTGCTCTGTAAGAGCCCCCCTATCTCTTGTGCATGTGGATACTAACCACAAACTCATAAGGTAAGTTGCTTTCACATGAAGTTGTCAAATGAATGAATCATCTGTAACAAACACATACAATATACTAAATTTGACTTTCTCCTATATAGGTACAACATAGTCATTTTGGGGGCATAGATGGCTTTTCCAGAAAGGTATTGATTCAAATAATATACAGTATTTTGTGACGCATGGGTTTATGGATAATTTCTCTGTGGTTGCATGTAAAACTATTAAATGAAGCCGTTTCAACAAATTATGCTTAGACTTTGTCATGATTTGGTGTTATTTAGTTTTGTATTTTCAGTGTTTAGTGTTTCTTTATGTTCTCGTGTGTTTTGTTCATTCTTGAGTTCTGTGTGTCTTCAGTGTTTCATGTATTTATTTTGGAGTTGTCCTCAGTGTTTCTTGTGTTTAATCCTTCCTCTGTGTGTTTCCCTCCATTGTGATTGCCCTCATTGTCTTCACCTGTGTCTTGTTAGTCTCACCTGTGTTTGATTACCCCATGTCTATTTAGCCTCTGTGTTTCTTCCCTTCTGTGTCAGTTCATTGTATGTGTTTGTTGGTGTCATTTGTTGCATGTCAGTTTACCCGTGGCTCCTTCTCTTGTTGGATTTTTTGGAAGTAAGTTTTTGTTTGCCTTTTGTTTAAAGAATAAATAGTTTTAGTGAATCCTGCATCTGGGTCCTCCTTCGTTTTTGTGATCTGTGACAGACATAAGTCACAGTATTATTAAAGTGGTACTTTTATGATCTTTGTCCATGTCCTGTACCTAGAACCTGCCATAGGGCATCTACTGGCCTCGCTTTCTTCCTGACCTCCTGTGATAAGAACGGTTTGCCCTCAAGCAAAAGACAGTGCAGTCTGATATGCACACACACACACACACAAGTCAATTTGGATGTTCTGAATAATAACTGTATATAGAATTTTGCATCTTTTAATACCTCTTCACATATTTCAGGATCTGAGGTGATCAGGATGTGGAGAACATTGATATTGCCCGATTAAATGTTTAGCAAGATAGCCTGAACCTTGACTCAGCATAATTTATCACTGTGTGTAGTTATCAAGACTATAGATATGATGCACTTAATTAATTTAACAACATCAATCTGAAAACAACTTATTGCCTTATCAGCACATGTAAAATCCATATGAACAAGGGGCTGATTCCATTCCCCAGTACCCCGTTGCCTAAGGATCTCAGTCTCCTGGTCTGACATTGTACTGGACCCTGACAGAGAAATTCCAAATGATGCTGTTTGATGCAATGCTACAAGTCTGATTCTCTACAGTTTAGTACTGTATTATACATTTATTTATTATTTAAGTGCCCCTTTTTACAATTTACACTATTCCTCACTCAACAGATAAAACTGTGATTGTTTTTTATCTTACAACTTTTTCATGACCGAATCGAGCGGCTTTGGAGGGATGTGTGGACCGCAGTAACAAGCACATACTATGATGTGCTGCACAGTCTCGAAGAACAGGGACTGCTAGACATCTCAAACACGTTGCACATCTTCCTGGTGCATTTTGTGTTCCTACCTCGTCTACGCAGTGACCTTCAAACCTTCTCTGAGGGCTGGAACCATCACCCACTCCGCACAGAAGGAAACATGACCCCTCAGCAGTTGTGGCAAATGGGGCTGCTGCAAAACAGCACAGCCGAGGTTGATAATGTTGAGGTGCATTCTTACATTACTGCATTTATCTCTGTTGAACATACAGTCCTCTCAACAACTGAAACAACAAGGCCTATTCATTTGTCATAGGAATAGGAATTGGCCAACATTTTTGCTTAATTGAAACAAGGGTTGTCAAAGTAAAGTTGTTTGTTTGAATCCTAGGATCTGCAAGAACTTGACATTGACTGGGAGAGTGCCCTTCACAGTCATGAGCACCTTCCAGAATGTGGGGTTGTGGTCCCAGATTTCCCCTCACCTCTAAGTGACCAAGATGTGGCAGACCTTCAAACTGCTGTGGACCCTACAGCATCATCTGACAACCATGGTCGAGACATTTACTACCACTGTCTTCAGATGTTTCAGTGAACGGTCATTTTATGTTAATTAGAGGCCTCTATAGTGCAAATAGTGTTAAGTTTGGGGATCAAGAATGCACACACACTATATACTGTATATATAATTGCTATAAATCAATCTTAATGTTCTGTTAATGTTCATATCACTGTTTATTGTGTACTGTCTGAATATTTTGACAAATTGTATTTTTATGCTTTGGCAACGTTGTTAAAGTTAGTTTCATGCCAATAAAGCCTCATTGAATTGAATTGATTATATTAATAAGGGTTTCAATGTTACTTAAATGTTTATATTTCACTGGAAGTTAAGAACAAATCCATATTTGTAAAGAAACGTAAAAATAATTCTAAGTGCAGAAAGGAAAAGCCAACACCTTATCCTTTTAGTGTGGTATGGAGCTCAATGAAAAATCAATACATCACAGAACAGAAAGTTGTCAAAAGAAAGGAGCACACAAACAGAATATCAAAGAACTGCAGTCTGTAGAAATAACTGAGAAATGTTAAAAAGAAATGTCCTTTGTGAAAGAGTGTAAACACAGTTAACTACCAGGCCTGATCTCAGATCCAGGTTTTAGACCACAAAGATCCAGTTTATATCTGAGGAAACACAGTCCTGTTTTCAAAACCCCATATTAATTCTGCTTACAATATTAGTGTCTTGATGATAATCAGTTTCTTTTCACGAGGTTAAGTTATTGTTGTAACCTTCGATACACCAGAAGGTCTTTACTTTATTTCAAAATAAAAGCAGTCAAACAGCAAGTGAAGATCTCTCAGTTAAAGACAATGCATATTAATGTGTGTAATTTTATTTTTGAATATAGAGATTTACATATATACGGTACATACACTGTATATATATTATAGCACTTAATTAAAACCCAAGTTATAAGTAGGCTACATAAAAACTATCAAATCGTCATGAATCAAAAAAAGTTATCAAGTCAAAGTGAAAAATTAATTAATACAGTTTAAGATATAAAGATATATTTTCACTATAGATGTACATTTTTTATTTAATAAATGGTTCTGTTCTTTTTAGCTGTTAAATATTTTTTAATATCTAGTAGACCAACAGTGTATTTTTGTTTTAAATATTTAAAATTGGCTCACATTTTATAACTAGATACAGTCAAAATAGTTTATTAAGATTAGCTGATCGATGAGTTTCATTTTATTTTTACACGCTTGCATGTAAAATAATATATAATAATATATATATATATATATATAATATTTACAGTCTATGGCTTTCATGCGGCTGTGAAATGAATTAAATCTATTGTCGGTGTCGCATTTCTTTTCCGCCGTCATGAGGGACGTAGGCCAACGTCACGGCCAACGTCGACAGATTAGACAGTAGTCATACGTTTGACATGAATGTGATTGACAGACACACTGGACCAATAGTGGAGAAGACAGGGACGATTTCATTGGTCTAAATCTATTCGTGTACGTCAATCATAAAGAAATGAGCCAACCAACGTTCGAGCTGAGGGGTAGAGGGCGGGGCTCAGCTGGAGTATAAAAGAGATGGTTGCGCCGTTGCTACACGCTAACAGACACTTTAAGTCATTAATTGAAGCAGTCAGTCTACCAAACAGAAACAAAATGAGGGAAATTGTGCATCTCCAGGCCGGCCAGTGCGGAAACCAGATTGGTGCCAAGGTTTGTACAGCTTTTTATATTTTTAGTGCGGTTGAACTCGATGTATTTTAGAAAAGAAACGCCGCGTCCTCTGTGCTGCTTTGTGTCCTACTTATGAAAATATTACTTTAATGTTTAATCCAAACCTAAATCTCAAGAGCTGCTCTTATAGGTTGCGATGCGTCGAATTGTAACAAATATAAATCTATTTGACTTAATTTACAAATCTGACACATTATGTTAATGATTTGTACACCAACCCGTTAGATATCAGTTAACCACTGCGGAGGATTAAAATCATTATTTTCATCTTATTCGGTGACGTAATCGTTCCCGCAATGCGACACATATGAAATGAGTGTTTTCGCTGGTTTTGGGCTGTAATGTAAATTGAACAAAGGTCTGCGTGTTGGCGGTTAATGACGTAGCTAATGACGTACCCAATCGGCGATGAGGCCGCGCGCGCGTTCTGCTGAACGGCGGGAAGTTGTAGTTGAACAATGACGTAATCAACGTCTATAGAACTGCTACATCAGCTTTAAAAATGAAAGAACCCGATATATAATAATCTGCATCCACTTTCCATTACTGCCTACTCATTCCCCTGTCACTTGTTTATGTTTTATCAGCCAACAACGTCTTAAAATGTTTTATTATATTTCAGTTTTGGGAGGTGATCAGTGATGAGCACGGCATTGACCCAACTGGCACACACCACGGTGACAGTGACCTGCAGCTTGACAGGATCAATGTCTACTACAATGAAGCCACAGGTAAGGTTGAATTCATTGGTGTAATTTATGGGGGGGATTGGTGGGTTGCAACCCACCCAATAATCCAAACCAGCCACCACAACCCACCCAATATGATATCATAATTATTGATAATGAATGTTAAGTATTATAAACACAACAATGTGGTAGATTTTCTCAATTTAGCAGTCATAAATAGTGACGTTTGTCTGCGCCCCCTCCTGCTCTGAGATTTGGTTTTGCCCACCTCAGACCTGTGTGTCCCTCCCCTCCAGTCTCTCTCCCCGTATATGTATGAAGCCAGCACGACAGAAAAAGAAAGCCCAACCAACAATTTTAAGTTGTTGGTTGGGCAAAAGAATAAAAATATCTTCCCAACAGGAGGTACGCTACTGCTAGGGCTCCAGTGCCACCACTCACGAGTCAAATAATGTTAACTGAACAAAAGTTAGTCCTCCTTTCTGCTGTGCTGTGTCTTAGCCAGTTAGTCAGATTCGCTATTCAGCTAACAGGCGACTTTGTCATCATTGAGCCCATCAGTGTGTCCAATAGGAGACCCGTGTGCCGTCACATGATGGGCTAAAAGCCAATAGGAGAGCTCTTGATCAGCCAAAGATCGTCTATATACATGAAAATGATTGTTCCGTGACCATGTATGATCACTACTATGTATGATTTGAAATTGTAATGAGTAATTATTTGGTGTCTTGTTTTAATGTGTATCAGATCAAAGAAGGTGAAGAGAGACAGGCTGAGAGCAGCGAGAGACAGGTTTCAGATGAGCAGGTAGGAATGGTATGCTCTGACAAGGCACAATTTAAATACAAAAAGCAACATCAACATGATATCCTTACCATTATTTCCTGTCATGTTCACAAAACACTCCCCTGTGGTTTCTGACAATAAATACAATCCAATGAATATCTCCTGAAGAATTAAAATGATCAACATATCTGAGACACCCTGTAAAAAGCTGGGACAGGATAAGCCATCTTGAGTATATATATAATTGCTGCACTGTGTGTATCAGAGAAGGTGAAAGTAGCATGGAAGAGAGGAGGACCAGAGAGAGGAGGCACAGGTGACCAGGTAATGAGGTCAAAGAGTTAAAATGTTGTTGTTAAGCAGGCTAAAAACATACAGTTTTGGATATCCATAGGAGTGATCGTGTGATTTTCCTCAGAGAGACAGGCTGAGAGCAGCATTCCAGTCTGTGGAGAGGTTTCAGATGAGCAGGTAAAAATGATTATGCTCTGACGAGGTCATGCTCTGAATTAAAAAAAAATCAATAGTGTACTTAAACTCAATTTTCTTTCTCACTCATTACTACTAGTTCTGTTTTGCTAAAAGTTAGCTATGTAATTGGAGTTACTTAACAGACAGATCTTGTTCTTATCATTTCTCTATAAGATGACCGAGCCACATCAGCCGAATACAGACAACAGGGACAGACAAGTCGATGATTCAGATATTACCACCTGTACCAAGCCTGCACAACCTCATCCCAAGTTTATTGTTGTGCAGAATCGAGCCAACTATGTTTTATCCTTTCAACAAAGTTGGTTTGTAAAATTTCCATGGCTGCACTACAGTGCCACTTTAAACGGGTTTTAATGTTTCCACTGTGCCAAAATCTATTCCAAAAAGTCACCATTTGCTAGCAAGTCAGACCCTGCCTTTGTCAGTACAGGGTTTAGAAACTGGAAAGGAGCAGTTGAGAAGTTTTCAATTCATGCAAAGAGCCACTCGCATGTCCATGCAGTGACCGTATATGCTCATGAAGGGAACACTGTAGCTTCACAACTGTCCTCAGTTGTATCCAGGCAACAAGATGAAGCCAGGCAGGCACTGCTTAAGATTGTTGTTCATCAAGTATTTAGCCCGACAAGGGTTAGCTTTAAGAGGTCATGCTCAGGGAATGGGAAACCTGTCCCAGCTTCTTAAAGACAAAGTAGAAGATGATCCAGCCTTTCAAAAATGGTTGGAGACACATGAGCAGGATTACACCAGTCCGCTCATACAGAATGAGATTCTCAGCCAAATGAGCTATGACATAATTGGAGGAATAGCTGATACCATTCGATGTCTTCCAGTCACTCAGTTTGCTTTAGTTGTAGACGGAACACAAGGTATCTCAGGCCAAGAACAAGAGTCAGTGTGTCTCAGATATGTCGACCATGACTTAATTCCTCATGAATTCATCGGATTCTATTCTGTGACAGAAACCACAGGGGAGTGTCTTGCAAACATGGCATTAGACGTACTTTGCAGGTTAAACTTGCCTCTGTCAGCATTACGTGGGCAGACGTATGATGGCGCTGCCAATATGTCTGGCAAGTACTCAGGTGCACAGGCTCTGATCAGACAGAAACAGCCCCTAGCTGCATACGTGCACTGTGGAGCACATTGTGTAAACTTGGTCACACAAAAGGCCTGCACAGCTTCAAAAATGGTAAAAGATGCACTTGACTGGGTTCATCAGTTGGGAACCTGAAGTGGACTTTCTGGTAAATATAGATGTTTCATCAGATTGCTACATCTGATCATGGTACCTCCATTGCTCTGAAACCTCTCTGCCAAACTAGATGGACTGTGACAAAGTGCCATCCGGTCTGTGCTCACACAGTATGACTCTGTCCTCATGTCCCTGGGGGAGATGGCAGATAACAGTTCACCTAGTGCAGCTACTGCTAATGGTCTGCAACATCAATTCATTAAAGGCAACACTGTGCTGGGTTTTGTGGTAGCAGAAGCTGTGGTTGGAGAACTAGAATGTCTGAACACTTCTCACCAAAGAAAAACACAGACCATCTCTGGTATGCACAGGC